ATCTGCTTCCTCTGGACAAAGCATGCCTAGTTCTCAGAACTTTACCTCATAGGTCTTATTTTCCAAACTTTGCATTTTTGTTGCTCTCACAAATTATCTCTGTTAATATCTTTATATTTATTTTTTAAAGATGGAACCCAAAACTCAGCACAGTAATTCAGTTGAGTCCTAACTATTGTCGAAAAGAGTTGAATACTTACTGTGCATGTTTACATATTCAACTCCTGTTATGGATGGATGACCCTTAGCTGCAGTTAAAATTAAAAACTTGAAACTATTTGAAATGATCTTCCTGAAACACATTTCTGACTGACCAAAGTTTTCAGTAAGCATGCGCTAAACTTTTGTAGAACAATAATACTCATCTGATTTATGCATCCCAACCGTGGCACTCAAGAAGCTACCCAGACAGCATTCAGGTTCAAATTCACCACCTGCCCACCACCTCTTCTATCCAAAAGTTTATTGAGTTGTGTGTGTCATGATTAACATATGAGGAGGATATTATGTGGGCCCTCTGCATGTGGGTGCATTTCACTTTTAATAACTAAGGCCTCAATCCTGCAAATGCATATATATATGTACTTAACACATTGCAAACACTTACACAAATGCTTGAAGTCAATGGGATAATTGGGTGCTTATGGTTAAACATGTGTGTAAATGTTTTCAGGGTCAGGACTTAAGGTGGTTTCTGAAATATGGATAGTGTCTACTCTTTCTAAACCCCATGGAGAACAGCTTTCAGTAGCTATGCACTGAAACTGTCACTTCTCTGTGCCAAAAGGCATTACATTTCTTTATTTTGAAATCCACTGCTATAACAAAATATGTTCTGATTTTCAGAAGCATAGATTCCAAAATGGGAGCACATATGTTTGCCTAATTAATTAATGGAATCAATGTATCATACATAGTCGTGGGACTTGCATGCATAAATTGCCAATCAATCATTGAAAGAGCATATTGTCACTAAGTGAAAAAGCATGTTGCCACAAGATAAAAGCCTCATCTCACTTCAGCACTGTTCTGCTAACTGGATACAACAATAATTATTTGCATTTCTATTTCCATCTGAAGTTTTCAAAGCACTTCATGCCTCAGAACACCCTTTTCAAGTATTAATGCTCCCATTTCTGAAAGGCTGAACAGGCAAAGAGAGGATAAGACCCAGGTTTTTCAAAAGTGTTCACTGAATTTGGGTACCTCACCTTTTGAGTGCCCAACTTCAAACACATGGAGTATGATTTTTCAGAGATGCTGAGTAACCACAGTTCATATTGACGTCAGCTGGTGCTGTGGATAGTCAACACTTCTAAGCTCAGGATGGTGTAGAACCTAGACACCCTTTTCCCCAGATGTGCTCAAATGACAATACCTCTCTGTGACGCTCTCTCAGGGCACCCAGAACCATAGGCCACTGTGTTAACTCCTCTGCCTCAGCAAGAAAGAGTTTTGCTGGAGCTTAAGCTGTGTATTAGCTCCCTTCCACGCCAGTTTGTCTGACTCACCAGCAAGATCCTTGAGACTCTGCCAGTGTAAGCCTTGCCTTGTGGGTAACATTCATAGGGTTGTCATGTGTCCTGGCAGATGTACTGATCAGACACCAAAAGTCCGGTTACTGCTGGCAGAGGGGAAGTGACAGCCTGTCGCTCAGCCCTGAAGAGGCGGCTCCCGCAGCAGCAAGCACGCACCCGCTCGGGTGGCCCCTTTGAGGAGCAGGGTTTGCAGGTCTCCAGCAGAGGACAGAGTGTGGTGGCCCATGGCAAGCAGAGTAAGGGGTTCCCAGCAGGCCTGGAAGATTCCCCGGGAGGGAAGGAAAGTGAGCTGCCCTGCCAGCCAGTGCTTCCCCTAGCCGCGCTCCAGCTTGCTGGAGCTGGGGTTTGCAAGTCCCTTGGGGTTGCTCACATCGGAGTTAAGGCGGGAGAGCAGCAAGCGACAGGAGGAGGGGGAGAGAGGAATGAGCGGGGGGGCGGGGTCTTATGGGAAAAGGCAGCTTCAGGTTTTCAGAAATTAGAAAGGTGGCAACCCTAAACATTCAGTGAACCCCAGTTCCTGAGTACCCCAAAGATGTCTCTCTACAGTGTCCAGTCCTGACTGGACACTTATAGAAATTACCAAATCTGTTTCCTCCAAAGAGACAGTGTACACACCAGCCTGTTAGGTTAGGTGAGGACCCACATTTTAATACACACCATGGAGATGTTTTATAGTAAAACTAAAAATGAGTTTTACTAAAGAACATAGATTTAAGTGATACTAATCAAGAGGAAAAGGGACAGTGTGATTACGAACAAAATAAAAAATAACACGTTAAAACTTAACTTTTGCAAGCTACAGTCTTTGCCTAAGCAGCTTTCTCACATCAAACTATCAGCATCTTTAGCTCCTAAGGCAGGAGGATCCACTGTTCACAGAATCAAAGGGTGTTGCCATCTTCATTATCGAAGTGGTGGGTAACAAAGGAGTCCCTTTTCTTCCCTCTTTTAGGCCAGAAAACCTGCTTGGTCCATGCAGACAAGTAAACCCACATTCCTTTGTCTAGGGCAGCCTTGTTTATTAACTGCTTCCAAAACATGCTTTCAGAACACATTTCCAGCACCCTGCTAACTCTTTATACACAATCCATGCATACATCACACAATGATATTCATGACCAGCATGTCACCAGTTTTCAAATAATACTTTGCAAGCCACCGTTTGGATAAGTATTCTGACAACAATGTGTTGGTGTAGTGAGTTTGTCAGACCTGCTGGGATTTATTATTACATAACAGTGTGTCCTTTGCCCGTTGGCATAAAGGGATTCTAGGGTCACGCTCTCATGTCTTGCTTATCTAGAAACACCATTTTAACATTGGCAAAATCACTTCAATTCAAAATGTTGTTAAGAAGTAGTAATAACTTATTCTATTTTTTTAGAGAAAGCAGTACAATCTGTTTAATAATTCCATCAACCAGAAAAGTGTATTAATAAAGCTTATTATCTGAATCAAAAAGACACTACAACAACTGAAAATTAAACTTGAAACTAAAATCTAGAAGTGAAAAGTACAACATCTTAATTATGAACTGCAGAAACGGCTTGTTGGGCGAATTATGCAGAGGCAGGAGAATTAGAAATGCAGTATTAATTTTACCAGTATTATAATCTCATGTTCATAGCTAGCTGTAAAAGCTATTAATCAATTGCTCTAACCAATCAAGTGTAAAAGTTTGCAGACTATGAAAATGTTTTATTTTGCCATTAAGCATCACATGTGCTGGAATATTTGTCCAGAGTTATGTGAGTACTGAAACAGCAGAGCAAACTGGTGAAGTAATAAAAATTATCCAACTGCTTAGGCCTTTAAAAATGTGCTACCTGAGTTATTTCACTATCTGACAGAGAACAAGAGATTTGCGAAGCTATTTCCTAGGAAAGTTACCTTGAGGTATAAATAATGGTCACATATTTTGGGCTAAATGCTCCTCTGGTCCTGGAACCAAGGAACTGCTCATGGACTTGGACCTGAGAAGCAGAAAGCAATACAATAGGAAATGGATATGCTCCTATCGGCACATGGCATTTCCACCAGCATAGAACTTGTATGTATAGTTGGATGACTCCGGAAGGGCAAAACTTCACCTACACCTTCCTGTGGCAGAGGATAGCAGGACAGGAGGACTTTGGCTTGGAACTGGATAAGGACTAAGAATCTATTGGGGAGGGGGAGGGGAAAGAAGAGCAGGTGAGTGATGAAGTGGATTGGGTTGGGAAGCAGAGGGATTTGGAGTTCAGGTGGGGGACAAGTATGCCTGGGGAAGAGGGAGCTATTATTGATGGATAACAACCTACAGGACAAATAATATGTATTTGTAATGCTGTGTAGAGTGCATGTTTTTTCCTTCCTCCTTGGGCTGGCTAATCCACACCAAAATCCACAGAACTGAATTGCATAGTGTTTGAGTGAGGGGCTCCTACTGCTCTGGGGAAGTACTCATTCACACTTACTGGCCAGATCTGACTAGAATTTGTGCCAGTTTCATATCCTTTGTGTCTCATAGCAGAGTAGAAGACACAGCCTGTAATGTGGGACTCAACAATTACTGTCATCTTTATTTCTTTCTCAAATCCAGGGCTGGAGCACCCATGGGGAAAAAATGGCGGTGGCCCCTTTTCAGCTGCCTCTGCTCCCCAGTGTTTGCTGCCTGCTGGTGGCCCCACTGATCAGTGCCTCCCCCTCCCTGTGCCTCCCACCCGCCGTAATCAGCTGTTTCGTGGCTTGCAGGAGGCTTTGGGAGGGTGGGGGAGGAGTGAGGGCACAGCGCGGCATGCTGGAGGGAGGGGTCGGAACAGGGCAGGAAGAGGCTGGGCAGGCATGGAACAGGGACGGGAAGAGGCACGGTGGGGGAGGGGCCTTGGAGGAAGGGGTGGAGTGGGGGCGGGGCCTGGGACAGAGCACCCCAGGCATGTGGAAAGTTGGCTCCTATGCTCAAATCAAAATCTTTATGGTAACTGGTATTCTACTAATATGCCACCCTAACAGACACTAGGGAAGAGTGAATTGCCCATCATTCAGATCCAGAATAAAATACCCATTGCCTTTAATATGAGCCAGATGAGGTTCTTACTGCTGTTGATAAAGTTTCCCCACTCTTAGATTTCAAGATCCTTCCATTTTTTAAAACAGCTCTATACACTTTTTTATCTTTGTTACAGTAAGATTCTCATATAATTATGCTCTTGCTGATGCTGTTGTTGTTGCCATGGTTATGTCCTCAATATATTTCTCAACAGGAATTTCCCCCCCAGTAATGTGTATGTAACAATAAGATTGTTTTTGCTCAAGAGGTTGTAAAGGATAAAGAGGTAGGTATAAAGGAAGATGGCATGTGGTTTCCATTTCTTGGCAGCAGAATATATTGAATAAAAGAAAGTGCTTCAATTTCTCAGCTTAAATATTCAGTCCCTTGTTCAAATTACTGTCAAATATGCAACATGACAAGAAACCTGATTGTTTGGATTTAAATAATTACTCAACGATTTATTACTGCTATCCTTGAACAAGGCAAAATAGTGGTGGTTCCACAAGTATGATCCAGTGGACTAAGAAGCAGAAAATCTGGACTCTGCCACTGAAATAGTTTGACCTTGGTCACTTCACTTCCCTCCAGTTTTTCCATCTGTAAAAAGGGAAGAATGATAATTAGGTTCCTTTATAAGGTGTGGTGAGCTCTGTAGATGAAAAGTGCTATATAATAGTTTAGTATTATTTCACATTTATTCTGTCAAAATGTTACACAATGGTGCAAAGAGACAAGATATAACACACACACATGTTTATATATATTAAATATATATATATATATTTCACACAGAGAGAGAAAGAGATCCTGTTACTGTCCTGGGTAGAAAGATGGGACAATATGCAGCAAAGTTAATGATACATGTATTCTAAAACTGTATGTGAGCTCAGGAGAGATTCCTTTTATTCCTTCTCAAAGCAGATGTCATTGTTTCTATCTTACCTGTGTTAGGTACTTCGAAGGTGCCTATGATCTTGGTATCTAAGGGCCTGATCCTATTCCCACTGAAGTCCGTGGCCTAATTCTCAGTCACGTTGGTGGTACAGTATCAAACTTGAATGCTGATTCTATCTCTTGTCATGTAGCTTATACAGATAACAGTTTAGTCTGAAGGTGAAGGGAGAGGGAAGAGCTGATGAAAGTTGCTGATGAAAGAACATCTGGAGCCTGAGGAAAGAAAGCCTTGAGACCTTCAACATCTATTACAACATCCCGCATTAAAGTGATTTTTTCTTGCCTTGATAAACACATTTAATGCTATTGAGAACTGTGAAGTTGCTGAGTCCCAAATTTAACCTGTCTTTAAAGTTGCATGTATAGCCCTAACTCTGCTCCACTTACAAAAAAGTACTATGAATGTATGTAACATAGGGACACATATTCCGTTTTAGCATATTTGAAAATTAATTGTCCTCACATTGAATGAACAGTTAGAGCCAGATTCTGCCATCCTTATTTATTCTGAGTAGTACTGACTGTTATACTTTCTTGGGTTGCCCAGGACTCTGAGTCCCATGTTACCCCCCTGCCTCAGAGAGAGAGAGACTTGCTGGTGCTAAACTGTGTGTCAACTCCCTGACACCTCCAGTCTGTTAGTATCATGATCGGGTCATGGGCAGTCTGACCTAGTGGGCAGAGCAGGAGTCAGGCTGAGTCGGGTACCAGAGGGCAAAACAGGAGTCAGGCGTCACGAGGCAGGCAGGGTCAGAAGCCGGAGTCTGGGATCTCGTGCATGCAGGGTCTGAAGCAAGACAGATGGGCAGTCTATGTTGTTGCTCAGACAACTATCTGTCATGGCTTCCTGGATTAAGTACAGGTATCGGGCGATCAGTGGGCTGCAAGGAGCTGCCACTCTGGTCCCGCAGGGTAGTACCTTCTGTTGGGCCTAGCCTCAAAAGTCCTACTAGCCTAAGCCTCCTATGGTGATGTGCAGGCATCAGTGGTCCAGATCTCCTAGAGTCCCATGTTCTAACCCTGCAGATTCTTACATCATCTCCCCTTCAAGCCCCACTTTGGGGTGGTGCTGAGCTAGGCTTGTCTGGGTGAGCCTTGTAGAATTCTTCGAGCAGGTCAGGGCCATGGACATGGGAGGCAGGCTCCCAAGTGCACTTTTCCGCACCGTAACCTTCCCAGTCCACCAGCTTGTACAGCTGGGAATTGAGGATGGCATGAACTTCATATTCCTTTTGGTCCTGGATTTCAACTGGTGGAGACAGTGGTCAGGGAAGGGGTTCTCCATGTAGGGCTTCAGAAGAGAAAACTGGAAAACTGGGTGTGTTTTGAGAGATGGGAGAATCTGGAGTTTGAATGTGACCGGGTTAATCTGCTGGCAATCAGAAAGGGTCCCAAGAATTGCTGGTCCAATATGTGGGAGGGTCGCTTGTTCTGGAGTTGTTTGGTAGTGAGCTATGCCTTCTGGCTGTTAGGTTGGGTTCACTTTCAGATGTTTTGTGACTACAGGAATCCATGTTGGTTCCAAAATGCAGTTTTATGCCCACATGAGCTATAGATTACTTTCCCCGCTCTTTTATTTTTCCTGGAGTTGTAAACAACTTCCAGTCATAACTTGTTTTTCCTAAGGGGTTTCCCAGAAGGGGCTTCCCGGGCAAGTGTATAAAAGACTGCCCCATACAGGGCCTCAGGGCTGTCCATCTGAGTGGCAGCCAGGAACAGTCACGGGTCTTACCTACACTCATCTATCCATCCTAGTGATAGAAGGTTAGGGATTTTCCTCCAACAGCTTCTTCCTCTGTAAAGAGAAGAGAGAAGGAAAAGAATCAACATCTCCTGAGTGTACCATCTGTTCTGCTTTCCCGTGATCCCGAAGGAACATCAAGCGACTCCTTGGAACTCCTCTCCAAAGGCTTGCCATTAGCCAGAGGACTGAGGTCCCAAGCACCTGCCGTCACTTTGATCTATGAAGATTTTTTTTTGTTTATTGGGTTGAGTTTGAGGGGGTAATCACTGTATCGTGCCATTTTGCTGTTTATTCCCCTTTTGTTTGCCCCACTCTTTGTTATAAACCCTTCAATACACTTTATTTAATTCTACCTTTATTAATTGACTCCTCATTATTTAGGGTGGGAGGGGCCCGCTTTGCAGGAGAAGGGATCCTACCAGATGACAGATGCTGACAGGGAGGCCGAACCTAGGGAGACAGAAAGCATAAGGGTCTCTTGTCTTTACATACACAAACTCCTCCTTTTGCCTTTCTGTCCTTTTCCCTTCTAACATGGCCTACTGTAAATACTGGAGCTTCTTGTCACCGATGGTCCGCAAGCCTCTTGTAGGCCTTCTTTGCCCCTTCTAGGTGGTTGTTGAGTTCTTCCTGAATCAGATACATCTGTTGAACCCAGTTGGTGGGTGGGTTCCGGGAGGCTGCTGGTAACACCAGGTGGAAAGGGGGTGGAACCCTCAATTAGTGAAGAAGGGGCTCCTACCCTTAGAAGCATGCTCAGCATTATTGTAGGAGAACTCTGCACATGGCAGGAATGTGGACCAGTTGTCTTGATGATAATTTATGAAACACCTCAAGTACTGTTCCAGTAGTTAGTTCACCCATTCTGTCTGTCCATCTGTTTGGGAGTGGTATGCAGTGGAGGTGGGTATCTGGACGTCCAGTAGCTTGAACGCTTCTTGCCAAAAACAAGAGGTGAATTATGGGCCTTGGTCAGAAACTATGTAGTCTGGAAGTCCATGTTGTGAGTAGGAGTTGGATGGTAGTCTCAGAGAGGGAGCTGATTGCAGGGGATGAAGTGGGGCATTTTGGTCAGGTAGTCCACAACCATCAAGACTACTGTGTGGCCATCAGACAATGGGAACTCCATGATAACGTCTAGGCTGATGGAGGACCACGGCCTAGCCAGAGTCTCCAGGGGTGCTAAGGTGCCAAGTCAAGGCATCTTGATATGTGTACAGCACTTGCAGGAGTCCACGTATGCTTGGACCTCAGTCCACATGCGGGGCCAACAGAAAAAATGGGCAACCATGTGGGAGGTCTCCCAGCAGCCAAAGTGACCTGCCAATGGAGCATCATGGCACAACCATAGCACCTCCAGTTGGGGCACATATATGTACTCGTCAAAGTACATTATCCCATCCCGCATAGAACAGTATATCTTAGCCCCGCAATGGCAGGGGCTGTGTCCCTTGAACAAATGGATCTTCCTTTGAGACAGACTGGATGAGAGCAGGTCTTGCTTGATTGTGGCATTGGCAAAGGTACCAGACTTGAGGCAGGGGGGCTCGGAAGTTGGTTTTTCACTTCCCCAGTAGTATTTCCCCTTCCGAGATAGAGCATTGTTTTTCTCATTTCGCCTTCTCAGGTGGTAGGTAATCGTAGACTCGAACCGAGAAAAAAACAAAGCCCACCTTAGCTGCCTCTAGTTCAATGCTCAGACCTTTTAGAGGTATTCAAGATTCTTATGATTGGTGAAGACCTGTACTGGGTGCTGACCCCCCTCAAGGTGGTGACATCATTCTTCAAATGTAGTTTTTAAGGTGAGCAGCTCCTTATCTAATATTTCATAGTTTATCTCAGTGGGAGTAATCTTCTGGGAATAGAATGCACATGGAACTGACTGGGGCCTGTGAGAGCCTGTCGCTGTGAGAGTACCACTTCTAGGGCCACATTGGATGCATCTGGTTCCACTGTAAATGGACGAGTCGGATCAGGGTGTGCCAGGATCAGGGCTGTGGTGAAGGCAGCCTTTAGCTGGTCAAAAGCTAGCTGGTCTTCAGGTGACAAAGCAAATTGCATGGCTTTGCACAGGAGGGAAGTCACGGGGGTTATTAATTGAGAGAAGTCATCAATGAATCTCCTATAAAATTTTTCAAAACGCTGAAGTTCCTGGAGGGTCTGGGGTGTTGTCCAGTTACAGATGGTTTCCACCTTCTGCAGATCCATCTGGATTCCCTCCAGGGAGATGATGTACCCCCAAAATTCAATGATGGCCTAGTTGAAGTGGCACTTTTCCAGTTTTGTGTACAACCCATGCTTCTGTAGTCCCTCCAGGATGGACCAGACATGATGGTAGTGCTGCTCCAGGTTCTCAGAAAATACCAGTAAATCGTCAAGTAAGATAATCATGTAATGATCCAGAATATCTCAGAACACATCATTTACCAAATGTTGAAAAGTTGCAGGGGTGTTTGTCAAGCCAAATGGCATCACCAAGTATTCAAAGTGCCAATATCGGGTACAAAAAGCAGTCTTCCATTCATTCCCAGGTCTTATGCACATTAAATTAGATCTTCGGGGGTGGGGTGGGGTGGGGGGAAATGCACTTTTGTGAAGCTCCTGGCTGTCCTCAGGTGGTCCAGCAGTTCCAGAATGAGTGGCAAGGGGTATCAGTTATGTATAGTCACTTGGTTCGCAGAGGTATAATGACCTGTCTTTCTTCACAACAACAACTGGTGCCCCGTCTGGAGAGGCAGACTGCCGAATGAAGCCCTTGCAGGAGCGTAGCTAGGGGGGGGAGCAGCCGCTCCCCCACTGAGCACATTCTCCAAAAGTGGTGCCTTAGTAGGGTTACCAATGACATCTGTCCGTAAGGTCCAGGATTTCCCCCTCCCCTCCCCTTTCCCCCATGCAGAGTGTGGCACTGCTGATTGGCTGCCTGGGCCTGATTGAGCCGCTCCCATTGGGCCTACAGCAGCCAGATCCCCTCCCCCCGCTGCCTCAACATGCTGCGGGGGAGGGGCTGTGCACTGGCAGCATGTTTAACTTTGGCTCCAGGGGCAGCCAGCAGCTCGAGCTGCATGGCGGTAAGGTAAGGGGAGTCCCGGGGGGCAGTCAGGGAGGATGGTTCTGGGGGGGGGAATTTCTGGGGCAGGGGTGTGGAGAGGGGCTGGGGCAGTCAGGGAGCAAGGGGATTAGATGGGTTGGGGGTTCGAGATGGGAGGGCCTCTTTCCAACAGCAAAACACAAGCATATAAAAGCCAGTCTTCAGTGTGAAGTACTATCAGATGGCCCGGGCAGCCTGTACAGCACCCGGCCCGCAGAGGTGGAGCTCCCCCCGTCCTCTTTTTTGATTGTTAAAATATGGTAACCCTAGAAATCGTGTCTGGGGGAGGGAGGGTTTGGATCTGATCAATCCCAGACTGTAATGCGGACCTGGGTTCCCTTGTGGGTTGGAAAGGACCCAATACATCATAGAAATGCTGAATTATGCAGCCACCACTCCTGGCTTCCATAGGGCAGGTTGCAGTATGGATTCTGTCTGAAGCGGAACAATAAATCCAGGCAAAAATCCTCAAGTAGGGCATGATCCTGAAACCTGAAGTGTCAGTTCAGAGGACAGCATAGAGATTGTGGGACCAGTTTGAGGTTGTTTCACGAAGCGATTCCTTTTCACACACCTCCAGCCCCAAAATAAGCCACCTCTAATCTGCACTTTAAACATCTTGGAGCCTTATACCAACGTTGTTGTTATGGAAAAGATTAGGCCAAAACCCTCCAGAAACTGATTTCCTTGTCCTTGGAAATTTAAGGGTGAGTTTTCAAAAGGTACCTAGGGGATCTGTGCGCCAAGTTCCCCATGACCCCTGAATCTATCTATCTATCTACAAATAGATTCACAGATGTCCCGCTGTCTCTAACATTGCATATTGCCTTTCCAGCTGCACTTGAGAGAAGGCATATGGGGAAAGGGAGACAAAGCGATGAAAAAATTAGCGACCGAATATCTCTGTGTATGTTCCTAATTCCTACAGTGCACTTACAGGGGACGGGGAAGAACAGAGAAAGGAAAAGCAACAGAGATTTCATTCTCGTTATCATGCAATGAGGGAAACTGCTCAGCGGGCAGGACTGGGCAGTTCTGTTTCTGAGGCTCCTAGAATCAGAGACAGGGATTTGTATGCGGGTTTCACGAGTTCTTAGTTCTTCTTATATTATGCAGTAAAGTGCTAGAGAAGGCTTTCCGTTTATCCACATATTTACAGAAAAGTAGTCTAGATCTGGTAATAGCTTCTCATTTGATTCAGATTTTTGAAAATGATATGAAAACCATTCAAAGTGAATTTGAATCTGAATTCAAACAGATTGAGAATGAAACAACTGAGTTGGCTCGAAAATGTGATATTACTACGGAATATAAGGAGCACAGAATATGTAAGAGAAAAAGATTCCATGAGGAAATTGCAGAGGATGAAGAAGGAATATTTGATGTCTGGGAGAAATTCATAGTTGAATCCTACTTAGTGTCCTTAGATTCTGTTATAAATAGCACGAGTAAAAGATTCGAGCATTTTAAAAATGTGGCTGCCGAATTTAGTGGTTTAGATTGAAAGCATTTTGACAACGCGGATAATGTGAACAAATTAGAATTTTTGGCAGATGTACTCAGATGTGATCGACAGTCAAACCGAAATTATGGAAGAGTTTCTTTCATTTAAAGACATCTACAAAGAGATAATGAGCACTAGCGGTAGGGTAAAGTCAACCGTTGACGAGAAATTCACCATCAACAGTGTACTGATCGCCAATGATATGTGTTCCATTTATCCTAAACTTTCGAGATTGTACCACATTTTTCTGACCTTGACAATAAGTAGCGCATTTGTGGAACAATCCTTTAGACAACTCAAACTTATAAAGTCCTACCTGCGCTCTACAATGGGTGAAGATAGATTGTCTGGGTTAGCTTTGCTCTCCATTGAAAGACAATTGGCTACTGAAGTAGATTATAATAGAGTAATAGATAACTTTACTAGAATGAAGCTTAGACGAAAGAGGATGTTGTAGTTGCTTCATAGATTATCATATTGTTTTGATCTTATCTTTGAAATATAAAATAAGTAAATAACATGTTTTTATTATGTTTTGATTATATACAATATAAATAGATGTCATACTGTTAAACTGTTTTTATATTTTAAATGCAAAATAACACATGTACTTGTAAAACAATATCATTCTTGTGTTTTTATTTTAAGTACAAAATAAATATGTATAATGA